GGGAGGATTCTACTATAGCTTGGAGTTGTTCCTTCATTTTAATCTAAATGTTTACCTGTTCATCTATTTCTGTGCTCATTATGTTATAATCATACTCTAGGGTCTCAATAAATACTAATTTGAGTTACTATGTCCAGTCTAAAATTATATAAAATATTGTAGGCATTGGCAAGTCATTACCTTCAGTAAGTTCATCATTTATTATAGCAGTTTTCAAAGTATGATTCCCAGACTAAGAGCAAGTAGTATCAGTATCGTATGGAAACTTGGATTTAGAAAGCAAAGCAAATTATTAGGCTCCTACCCCAGAACTACAACTGGATCTTAATCTCTGAAGTAAAACCTATCAGTCTTATCGTTGAAAACAAGCCTTTATTTATTTAGTATAAACTCATGTTTGAGAGCCATATTTAAGAGAAGAAGAGCTGGAATTTGGGGAAATTTAAAAGCTTTGAAAGGAAGAAAACATTGGCACATAGTGGTGCTGTGGAGATGTAAAAGACTAGAAGAAGAAAGGTAGGGTATGACTCAGTTTGAATCTAAGAAGTAAGTACCCTGTCTAGACGAAAAGTAATGTTCATTGCTAGGAAATTTTCATGATGTACCTGCAGATAAAATGGGGTAAATATCCATAGGCGAATCCAAACTTGATAAAATTATATGGAAGTTATTGGTAGTTGTGGTAAATGAAATAAAAAAGGGGAGATAATATATTTGTGTTGTAGAATACTGATTTCATTTGAGATGCCAGAGATATTTGAATGAAGATATTGAGCTATAACTGAACAGACATAAATATAAACTCTTGTCTATGCCATTTAATTTGTAATGTTGCCCCCAACCAGTCACTTTTTCCATTTTATCGCATGTAATGTTATCTTAATACTTGCTTCTTTGGGCTGCTATAAGAAAGAAATAGAAATTAAAATAATTTCATATAAATATAAAGAACCTACTTCAATATACTATTGGTATGTGATTATTTGGTAGATATTAGCACCACAGTTAGAGTATGTGACAGAAGCACTTAGTAGGAAACAGAAAAGGTTTGAAAGATTTGAGAGTCATATGCAGAAGATTGCTAATGGAAACTATTAACAGAGAAGGGATTATTATAACAAGACAACATGAAATATTATCTCATACAGACATCGAGAAGAAAGGACAAGGAGGCAAAGATTTAGCAGGACCATATATGTCTGCACACGTTGATCTGTCCTTATCTTTTTACCTCCCCTTCTTTTATTAAAACTGTAATATCTTGTGACTTTGGAAGCTCTCTTATCATTTGAACTACTAAATTATTGAAACATTTCTTGATTTTCTTTCACAAATCAAGCAATTCTTTTTATATAGCTTGATTTAATAGTGGTTTTTCCATGTTTATTCATAGCCTACTATCTCTAATTCCTGTTCTTTGATTCCTTCCAATATTGGTGGCTTATACTGTTATTATTGGTAGACTTTAGGATGTCTTCACTTCTTTAAGCTCCCTGTTTCTCTTACTACATGAGAACTCAGAAGCCAGTGGAAAGAATGCCATAATTTTTTATATATTGCTGATAAGTATTAACATGATTTCTATCATTTAAATCTTTCACACTTGATATTTTAAAGCTAGCCAGAAACATAAATTAGAAAATGGAAAGTTAAAGTGATTCACTTTCATTTGTGTTGTTTAGCTCTTTGGACATTTGGACACGTAGATTTAGCTCTTTGCATGGGGGATCCCAAGCTTCTTCGAACTGTAACACACATACATGCCTCATTATATCACACCTTCTGTCCATGTTCTATTATCTGTCAACGATAAGTATCTCAACGAGGTAAAGGGTAATAAATCAATTTCAAGAATTCTTTGTACCTCATTATGTGACTGTAAGAATATGATGATACCACAGCACCATATCTGCAAATCACTTTGCCTGAAGTTGTAAGAATACATCACACTTGCTAATACATTGAAGACAGTTGTTAAGTATGACAGTATAAAACAAGAGGAACTAAAGACATTAAATAATTTGAAATTATCTACGTTAATAATTTCAAAAGAGGACTGAGGAAATAAAAGAGACATTCAAATGATAAAGTCGTCACATCCAATTACCATTCTTCTATGTATATTGCTCATCAGGCCTCATTTCCATTCCAGAATTGTTATGTGAAATGGACCTAATGATTAAGGGGTGTGTCTACTGAAAATTAGTCACGGAATAAAATATCAGTGTAGTTCTTATTGAACACACATGTTAATAAACTTATATTCCTTTTTATTAGTCATCTAAAATGCAATGCTCAGAGACTTCATCTCCCATTTCTATTGATATTTTAGTGTAGTTGCCTTTCTGATTCTGTGCATTAAGTAGACTGTTTTCGATAGTAAGCTTTTCTCATTAGCTCTTGAAATTCATATTGTCCTAATTAAAACACTACTATTTGTAAATTAAAACCTTGTTTTTATTGTTTTTTAAATTTTTTAAAATGTTTATTGGTAAAATTTAAAGAAATAAAAAGTGGAATGTAGAAAGTATATTGTTCTCCTTAATGTAGTCATCATTAGTGATATTACATCCATTCTACCTTCCATAGCTGTAACCATTTTTAACAAAAATGATATTTTTACCACCATGAGACTTACTTTGTTCCACACATAATTTTATATCCCCTTGTAGTGAATATTTAAATAATTTAAAATATTGGTTTAATTGTACAGTGTTACATATTTATCTTGGCATTTCCTTGTGATAATGAAAATAGAATTTGAGAGCCAAACTATTTACTACATATGATTCTTAATTTATATTTGTTTGCTTTTGTTAAAACTATTGATTTCATCATCTTAAATGATAATAATCAGTTTGGTTAAAATAAAGTCAAGTTATATACTCAAATATTTGACTATTAAATAACATTCAGATAAAATTAAAGTATATTCAAGTTAACTTTGTTGCCAGAAACAATTTCACTTTCTTGTGGACAAGTAATTCTATTTTTAATCATTTACTTAAAAGTATACAGAAATTATAACAGAAAAGGACAAGTTAAATTGAACTGTACATTTCACAGAAAAGCATACAACTTTAAAAGTCTTCAGCTAAACCCAGCTTGGTCATTTCCTTAGAATCCAACTACATGGGAAGCAGAGACAAGAAGATTATCAAAAATTCATAAGTTTAAAGCCACTCAGCACTATATAGCAAGACCCAATGTCAAAAATAAATAAGTATATAAATATATTAACTATCCATAGTGATTATACAGGGTAAAATATGATTTAATACATGAATACAAATAAATGTGCAGTAAATTGTTGAAAACTATCAGTTCTTGGTTGCTTGTTTTAATTACTAATTTAGGTATGATTATTATTGATAAGTTGTTTATAAGTTTTGTATGAAGAATTTGACTTCCCTCAGATTTATAATTCAATATTCATTTTGTGGCGAGAGTATGAATGAATGCCCAGATTCATATCCACTTATTTTGCCTCTTAGCTTGTACAAACAGCTATCCGGACATTAGCTATCAGATATCAGAATGGATCTAATATATTTATAACCATCCCCTCTTATAGAAAACAGGAAGCATTGGGCTGGTTTCCTAATAGAAATTGATCTGCATTAATCTTCTTTTCAAAAGCTGCGCCCTCTTATTTATCACAGTGACCATTTTGGTCCATAGCAAGCTTTTCGAGATTTTGAGCACTGAAGCTCCTTTGTTTCGTTGTTCTCCTTTCTTTTCTTCGCTCACTTCATCTGTGGTTGAATTTATCTGTTAGAGGAAGTTCAATAAATATATGAAACATCTACCATTAAACTACAATGTATACATTCCAGATTAATTCCTGAGTCTCTTTCAATCTTTGCATCATTTGGTGGAAGTTCTTATTTTTTCCAGTTGAGTAATATCTTTTAGACAATAACGTGATGAAGAGCACAGCAAAGACATCTATCTACTTTGAGTGCCTAAAAGAAACTACATGACTCTTTAGAACATTTGCTGAATTATTTTTGAAATCCAACTTAAATTTTTGACTCCACTAGACTTAAGATAAAAGGTTCTTTTAAGTATTTAATATTAATATGAAATATATTTTTAAAAATGAATAATACAGTAATTGATTTTTAATGTTTCTTTTAAACTATCCATTTTAACTAGCCAGGTCTGAAACCTTAATTACTTGATACTGTATCACTAATCCATTTTAAAAGCAAACTAACAAAAGTTCTATGTTTAAAATTTTTAAAGATGATTAGTGAAGTAATTTAACATGAATATTCATTAAGCCAGTTTTCAAATCATTTACTATTTGTCTTAATTGTCCTGAGCTGATATTTAAATAAAGCAGCTTCATTACATTTAGCTCACAAATATTAAGTTTATAGGGTTACTTGGAACACATTGGCAGTAGATGCTGCACTGAAGTAACATTACCATGTCATTTTTAAATCTATCTTTATACCATAATGAAAGGTTTATTTCACTGAAGCTGCTGCCCTTGCTTCAGAATGTTTCCTTGGTGTGTCCGTACCTGCTATCGGTAGCACAATATCAGTCACGAGTCTCTAAAAGATGGTGATGAGAAAGCCTGTGGTGTGGTTTGTTAGCTCAAGACTTTGCCAACTCATCATTTTCTGGCATGTGGACTTTTAAATTGTACTTGTGAAGAGCTTTGGCCAAGACCTCGCAGCTAAGCAGTATCAACGGTGATAGAATTTCTTTATATTCCAAATCACGTGAATGGCAAGATATGTTTTAGTCTCCGCTTTGATATGGTAAATGTCCATTATGTTGTCTCATAATTATATGGACTCTAATGCAATAATATGGTTAATAATTCAAACATAAAACTTCTCTCTTGAATATATATCTCCTGAAAATAGGTAGGCGGATACTCCGATTATGTGATTTCTTTTTTACTAATCTTATTAAAGGGGGAGAACATTAAATCTTTGAGTACTGTACCTCAATTTTATTGTAATGATTTTGCTGGTTACCAGGTGGGGTGGCAGTTGAAAAATTTGGTGAATGCACTACGAGAGGACCCGAGTGGTGTTATCTTAACTTTGAAAAAGCGACCTCAGAGCATGCTTACCTCAGCACCAGCTTTACTGAAAAATATGAGATGGAAGCCCCTTGCTCTGCAGGTAATAAAGCTTAATCATAAGTCATACACCATCATTTTAGCCATAGATTATCGCAGTAATGCTTCGTTTCTGTGCCTCATCTCAGCAGCATATGAATTAATCTTGTATGCTTTTGAAAATTTGTTTGTGAAATTATCTCTTCACTGCTTATCCTTATAGGCTTAATTGTGATGGAATTTGAGAGAATCACTAAAACCCAAGTGATAACACTAATTTAATTAGAAACCTAAAGCATAATTCTAAAACTTCACAAGTTAATCCACGCCAAAATATGGAGAGGGGAAAAAATGAAGAGGTTAACTTTTTGTGATAGGATCTTGAATATTATATGTTAGAATCACATCCACTTCTGGAAGAAGCTAGCAGATAGTTTATAGAGTTACTTTAAATAAGGAAATAAATTTGTACCTTATAAAGAGTAGAAATTTAATTTTCAAAATAGCAATTAAAAATTAACTAGTGTATTCCTCATTATAGCTCATTTTTCACTTGTCCACCCCCTGCCGCAGAAAAACCAGGGAGAGTGTTACATTTTACATCGTGAATATGAAAAAAAGAAGTTTTGCGGTTTTCTTCATTATGAAATTTTACTGTAAAATGTTAATTTGAGTGGTAATAAAGCACATAAGAGTTATTTAAAAGATATAAAATATTGTTATTGCACAAAGACAAGAAATCAATATATTTTTATTTCAATCAGGATATAATCCTTAAATGTATAATTGAATTTTTTCACCAATCTCCACTTTGTTAAAATAGTAGACTATTACCCTTTTCTAGAAATCTAGTTGATTTTTCTTTTTTAAATAGTTTCCCATCTAATGTAGAATACTGATAATTTCTCATATTAAAAAGAAAAGCTTCGTTATAGTCTCTGCTGTGTAAGATTTAGTAATTTTTCTACTAGTGCCCTTTACAAGCAACATTTTTTTCTAGTAAGTTTTCCATTAAACAGCTCTTATAAATATAATTTGTTTGCATTCTTTTAAACTTTACCACTTATCAGCCTTAAAGTTGGCATTATATTTAGATAATATTAAAACACATAAACTGTTACAATGTTAACATTTTTAATGCAAAACTTTTTCTAATTTTCAAATGAATAAATATAGATTGCATTAGTATTTCTAAATGCATTTGACTTACAATATTTATACCAAAATATCTTATGATTGTTAATGTTCTGAGGCTGTTTGCTTCATCTGGAATTTTCTATTGTCTATGCCAATGATCTTTTTTCAAAGTTTAAAGGAGTAGGAACACTTGAGAAGAGCCTCACACTTTCAGTTATAAATAGCTGGAAAAATCACTACTTGTGTGCAGTTTTTCATAAAGGGACCTAAACACCAAAAGAGATCCTAGTTCTTGTTGTTCCATGTACTTTGAAGTAGTCTGTTTAGTAATTTATTTCATTGTTAGATCTTTTTCCAGTAGCATAAACTGAAGTAGAGAATGAATGTTAATAGCAATTAACACTTTTATATAAAAAGTAAAATAATCAAAAAAACTAGTATTTTATATCTTATACATACACATGACATATTTTCTTCAAAGTTAGAGGGCAAAGATCTTTTAAAATTAATTCCATCATTTTGTACAATATAATTATGACATATTTTAAGGTACTGTTTTAGGTCTATTCTTATATAGCTATACATAAGCATTATCAAATCATTAATTATATTTATTTCTCACTACCTACTAATATATGCTGAATATTTTTATGTTTACCTTTTCATAATACTAAAATATGGGGGTGGATAATTTAAATAAGTACATATGTATATACCATATATCACAAATTTGTAAGTTTGCTATTTACCCCAATAAGAATTACCTAAAATGAATTCCCAATGTTCACCATCTCTAGATAAGTAAGCCTGTTAGTGAAAACAAAATTACTTTTAACATCTTTGAAAATAGCTTCAAAATTGACTTTTGCAAAGCAGAAGGAAAAGAATTGGTTTTTTAATAATTAGATTCTTCTAGCAGTGCTAAACCAAATTCTTGAGTGTAAGAATAATGTGTTCTGTACGTATACAGCAGCACCACCACCACACGGTCGTACAGCCTATTTCAGGACTGGATATTACACCATTATAATCAAGTTCTTTCATGAACTTAGGCTTTAGCCTGTACTTAAATCAATTCCACTTAGTGGAAACTACCTGATGAGAATTTTTATAGAATATAGATTTGAGAACAAGAGAATGGGGAAACACGTAAAAATTTTAAAATCTAGAGTTTGAATGCAGACTGTCCTAGAAAAGAAAAGTCAAATGATAAGATGAGGTTTGATGGCAATTGTGGATTGCTTCATACCTTTATCTGAGATATTTTTTCTTCCTAGTTCCTGAGAACCAGCCTCAGCTGTGAACCATAAGTACTAATGCAGTAACAGTCCTCTAGGTAGACACAAGCATCATCATTATTGTTTTCTTAATTCTGGTGTCTATACAAATCACCTGAGACTAGAATGCCTATTAATTCACTTACATATAAATCATCAAAATGCAAACTTGAAGTTTGAATTATGTTGGTTATTTTTATCAAGTATACCAGTAATTTAGTAGGAATTACTTTAATTAAAATCTACACAAAGAATCTGTGAAATTTATTTAAATCAGCATTTCTAGTTCATTTCCTAATTACCAGGCTTAACTTAACTATTAACTTTTTTCAAATAAATATTGCAATTGACTTTACATGGAGGTCAAAAATAGTGCATACATCTTTTTCAAACCAATTATTTTAAACAAAAATGGTAATAATTTTATTTATACAAATAAAATGGCATATATATCCTAAAGTATTTATTCCTAAACTGTTTCAAATAGGGCTACTCAATATGAATTAACTGCAATGAGAGATTTTGATTTGGAATTTCTTTGGAAATCATAGCCAAATAAGCAAAAGCATACAATCCAACTTCATGCTCACAGAGAAATTTCATCAGCACATTTCATGAAATTTGGCAGTTCTTTTGATAAAATTCTATTTTCTCAAACTTTTGATGCTAGACCTGAAGGACGTAAAGATCGCTTCATCAGATACAATGACCAAATTTAATTACATCTGAAAAACTGAATTCTGTTATCATCTGTGTATTTTCATAAGTAGCAGAGATGTCTGTCTGTCTTTGAGACCCAATCATTTATTCTAAGAAGGTAAACGGGGTACCTTGCCTTCTGAGAGCTGCTTTCAAATCATCTTAGTGGCGCTCTGCTAATTTCCAGGATGTGGATAAGCATGGTGACTGCATATAGTCACATTCGTCTATCGGTGAAATAAATTTCAGGGAGTGCTAAATAGGTCACAAGTATATGTTTAGATGGTTTGGCTACTAAATTAGGATGCATTGCAGCAAGAATATATGGACAGTCATTTTCTTCTTACAAGAGATGTATCGAAGAATTAGCTGGACGCTGCCAAGAAATCTCCTTAAATCATCACTGGGAGTCATTGAATTTTTAAAACTGTTAAAGAACCCAGCTTTTGGTGGAGAAAAACATCTCAGGTCAATCAATGCTAGAGTTCAAAATCTGATTTAAATATTGTTCAAGACATTTCATATGAATTAAGATAAAGCTATATGAATTTAGGAATAATTTATATTCCTAAATTATTTTCTACTCCATAAATCTCATATATTGATGCCATAGTTATTAGTATTGGCTTGTTATTTTGTACTTAAATTTTATTGTTTAATTAACCTTGATGGCAATTTACAGGATATTTAAGTGATTTGAGCAGGAAGGAAGTAGTCAACAGCAGTCAATTTTGTATATCAATTGGTATAACGACTATAGAATGGTGATCACATTCAATTTAAAGTGCATACAAATATAAATGGTTAAAGTAATTGTATAAAAAGTCAAAGCAGGAGCAGCAACAAAATTTATTTCAATATCCAAAATGCAAGTTGATGTTATTAAACAAATATTAGTGAAAGACAATTTGTACGTTTCTGAAAGTTGTTTTGAAAACATATTGTAAAGAAAATGTTTTATATGAGGTATAACACTACAAAATAATTTTAACTAAAACTGTAACTGGGCTGGCTGGACAACAGTACGATTTCTGTGTTTTACATGCTCATATTAGGAAATAACTGCACGCAGCTGTCATATCAATTATAATTCATCAGTGTTCAAACCATAAAATAAAAATCTAAGTAACATTTGCGGGTTTCAGCCTAATGCTTTTACAGTTTTAACACTGACTACAAATAAGAAGCTATGATGTGAAGTGAGCCGTTTTTAAACAATTGACAATTGAGTTAAGCTATGCTTTTCAGAGATTTTAAAATGTAAAGGGTTTCAAGTAAAACCTCAAATTCAAAAGTAGTTTCTTCGGTGAATATTCCATAATGTTGTTAACTATATTTTGGAATACATAACTTCAATTTTTATATTATCATTTAATTATGCATATAAGATTGAGCAGCACAAAATTACATACACTTGTCTTATTGTCAGTACAGATGATTTGATGGAAAAAGCTATTTTGTAATATGACTACAAAGGCTTTTTATTATATATTGTATAAGAACATACATATTTTGGTGTCCATATATCTGTGTTATTTAATTTCAAGGATCTAAGGTCTCCTGATCATATTCATGGTCTAAAAAATGTTTTCTTTATAGTCTAGTAAGAACAACAGAAAATTTATCTACTTATAAAAAGTACAAATATTTTAAAAAAAAGTACAAATATTTTATATTAATAAATCTGTATTTGATTAGAAGCTGTGAAACTGAGGGAGAATTTTTAAACAATGCAATTATTTTGCTTACATTATTTTCAAATATAATTTCTCACTTAGGAAAAGCTTGGCCAGGTAAAAAGTACACATTATTTTTTAAAATTATATCTAGCATTCTTTATGTGGTCATGAAATGTACAAAATTGTATGCAAATTCTTGTTTCCAAACCCAGAATACTTTTTCTCTGGAGCATTTGTTGGAATGATCAAGGAAATAATTGTTAATATAAAGTAATATTCTAATACTAAATGAAGCTAGTACTGGGAATTTAGTAAGAATGGGCCTGAACTGTGTAAGGACTTAAAGACTGTCCCATGCTAGAAAATTGAGGTATTGTGATCAGCTGGAATCTGTGATTATTTCTAAGAATAAAGAAAATGAATGGCTAGGTTATATACTTAATGTAATCTTTTGTATCTCAGTTGATATTTTTACCCCTGAAAGGGAAAACAAGTTTTTGTGTGAATTTGACATAAGTGTATTTTGGAACTAAATACTATTACAGTGTATAACATTGAAATATTGGGGTTGCCTCTATGTCATTGGGTTCACTGAAGACTTTTATATATCTAACTTCGCTGGATCATTTACTGAGGGCCAACTTAATTAAAATATGCTTGCCAAGGATTTGGAAATATAAAATATTTCAAGTAAAACTTAAAATTCAAATTACTTTCTTAAGTGTAGACATTCTTTTTAATAATCTTTACCAGAGACATCTCATATATACTGATTTACTTAAATATAGAGATTTCATATATGTGTATAATATATATATATTAGTTCTTTGCAGATGTGCTATTCGTGATATTAAAATTGGTAAATACAAAGACAAAAACACTTGATCCATCAAATAAATTTAAAGTAATGATTCACTTAATCTCTTGTAAAAGTTAAAAATTTTCTTTGACAATTACAACCCTCCATCAGTATGTAAACTAATCAGTAAGATGTTATTTCTGAAGTCTTCACCCATACTTCAGGGAATGATTTGTACCGTATTATATTTTAGAGAATGTTTTTAAGATATTTATATAGTTTAAACTGGCACTGAAATGCATATATAAATTCTAAGTAGATTTCTGAGTCCTGGTGACAATAGCAAGTGCCTGTTAAGCTTCTAAATGTACATTTAAAGAGATGCATATGACTTTGAACGTAAAAAGATAAGTGGCAGTGTTCTACAATAATTTATCAGACTTGATTTACAAGAGTAAGGTACACACATGCACACACATACACACACATAGACGTACACACATACACACACAGATGATCTTCTGTGTGAGAGTGCTGTTCAACCGGTGGAAGAGCTTTATGGTGTAAGAACCATACTGGATGTTATGACAAGGTCCTAAATAAAATCATTTGGATGGGAATTCAAAATGGACCTAAATCACACTTGGTTACATACCATAGTGCCATGTTATATTAAAGCCTTACAACAATATGCAGTCTTAAAACAATACTCTTAATTAATGATAGTAGTTTTTCCCATGCACATTTTAATAAACATGTTAAAGTTGTGAAAGAAAAAAATAGCATTATTATTTTTACTTAAAATGCCAATCTTTCTTAGTACAATTATAACTGTTACAATGATGCTATGTTAGAATAAATAATGATTTACAGAAAATGTTTCTAGGATAAGAGAAGCGATAGTTTAGTTTTTTTAAATTCTCTTACTTGAAATTTTTACTCAAAGAATATACCTATTAAAATTTGATTTGAATTCTGAAAGATCATTAGTTTTTTAATTGGGAGACGATAAACTTGTTATTTTCCATGTAATTTCATACTAATAGCAGATGTTTTTTGTTTTTGTTCATTTGGTTTTTTGCTTGTTATAATTAGGAATTTCTTTTTTTTTTCCTCAATGGTTGATTTCATCTTAATTTCATCATTTATTCTATGCCTTACACTGTTATTGTCTTCCTAAAGTTTCTTAATGATCTCAGAATTCTTTCAATCATTTAATTTTATACTATTTTAATTCTTGTCCGCAGTGTTTTTAATGTTAGGTCACAGTTTATTTTTTCATTGCCAGTGTCAAAGTTGATTTTTAATTTGATACTCAAATTAATATTTACTTTTTATCGCTGTTTAGCTTGATAAAAATAGCACAACTAGTACACAAAAATAATTATCTGTATATTGATTATTTACTATCTGTGCTTTAATTGCTGTAGAACGTACTGATAAGCCAGATTACACCAACACAATAAACCCATTAAAACACTTCTTCTGATTTACCTATCAATAAAATAAACACCCAGTTGAACTCAAGAACAGAATTGAATAATTCTTCTTTTGTTCGGTAAAAACAAGTTGAATTTTTTAAAGCAGTTCAATTAATTAGATCAGGGTAACGTAATCAAACCTGACATCTATTTGAACATTTTAAGCTTTTTTTCTTATATTAATCTTCCAGTATACTGATTCACATTTACTGATCACATTAGTAGCAACTCCTTGTTGAAAATAGAAAGGTACAAATACAGGAATTTGTAGGAAGTTGGCATTGCTAATCCTTAAGTCTCCTAGAAAGGAAATGTATACAGAATAAAATATTCTGCTAGACTTCACCTCATGCTTAAGGCATATTTAAATACCCTTGTAAAAATTAATACAATTCCGTTTTTCTTTGTTTTTTGTGGAGTGGAAAGAAAAAAGTATGTACTAAACAAACAAAAACTCTATATATCACCAAGGGAATGGAGAAACATCTTCAAACTGCAATTAGCAACCTTAAAATAGAGGAAAAAGAATAAAAAATTGAGTCAGATTGCTTTTTATGAAAAGCTTGTGTTATTAGGAAGTGGTTTAAGTTCACATAAAGTGAGATATTGTAACGTACCATACTAGTACATTAAAAAGCATACTAAATATTCATTTGTCTTCCATAGTAAATTGATTTTAAAATATTGGAAATTAATATAATGTGTAATAAGGTTTTCTTTTACTTCATGTTTATTATCATTATCTGTATTTAGAGCTAAAAGATAACAACAAAATAAAAAACTATAAGCAGTCATATTGCAGTAAATATGAGTATGTGTGTGTGCATGTGTATGTATCACTGAACCTTTCATTCAAATATTATAGAGGCATGAAACAGTCTTAGAATTTTCATTTAATATCATTGGGCTTCATGGCATTCATCAGTACAAATGACTCTTCCAGTCATCTACATCTCAAGAGTTTCTCATTGCCAAGAATTTTTTTTCTATAGGACAGGAATAGATTAACTGAATTCTATTCCAAAAAAAAAAAATTATATTGTCAGACAGAGAAGTTTTTATTGCATACTATCATAATGTATTAATTAATGTATAAAGTTTCTGACCATTGTAAGTCATCATATGATAGAAAATTAAATTTTATACATGATTATTCCTTTTTCCTGTCTCTCTTTCTTTAAGTTTGATTTTACATACATTTAAACTTAACCACCATTTTGGCAGAAAGTGTGATTTCAAGCTATTAAGGGGAGCTGTGTAATGAGGAAGGTCAAAATCATTAACTGATTCCCAAATTATGTAGCGTATCCCAGTAACCTACATTGTAATCTCCATTGTATTCACGCCTGACTTTCAAACAATTTTTGGTTATCTGTATGAAAGTAACGCTACAGTACAAAATAGTTGTAAGATGCATTTACTTGAGTTTCCAGCAATGCATGTTGAAGTAGTAGAATTGTGAGTCTATCACCTAGATATGCCAAATGTGTTTCATACAGGCTAAAATAGCACCATTTTGTCATACGAAGATGCAATTCATTTTGTGGTCATTATCATCGTGTTTGAGACTGCATTGAGATACTTATTTTAATGTTAATTGTATGTATACTTAATCAGTAAGATCTGTAAGATAAATATAAAAATTTGTGAATTTAAGTTTCAATTTAGGATAATGTTTTTCAATCCACAAGATTATTCTCAAATACTGTGAATCTTGGAATTGGGACTGCTCTTAAGACTAATGTGATTAAGTCGGTTTATACAGTATGTTTAGAAGGCAACTTCCTATTTAATACTTAAATCCAAGGTATCTATAGGCATGCAACCAAAGATGAGTTTTAAATACTAGATGAAAATATGTGTCTGTGAAAGATGAAATGTTTGTGTCTCCTTATTCACTATGCTTTTGAAGATGTGATATAAAATGGCTCTGAGGGCTGGGGATGAGACAGCTACCAGTGTTTATGTTGGGAGAAAGTACAGTTTTCTAGAAAATTCTCTCCTGTGTTGATAGCCATTTTTGCCTTCTTTGAGCATCTGTGACATTTCTTACTAATATAACACTATAGTTTTTCAAATGTCAGTCAGGATGTGAGGAAGCTAATTCTTTTATGAATTATTTTTATTAGCTTTCAAAAGTACAATTCTGGCAAAGTTAATTAAAATACATTTCTTTTTGTGAGTGACATGTCTTCTCATTATGAATCATTGAATGGTATTTTTACTTTATAAGTAGCTTTTGGATGGTTAAGCCATTGAAAAGGTGAGTTGGGAACTGCATTGAAAACTCTATTATTTGTTATTTGTTTGGGGAGGGATCAAAGAAATACCCATGTACAATAACATTTTTCTTTATTTCAGCCAAGTTCAAAACTTTGCACAAACAGATCATTTTTAAATGATAACTATGTGTCATTGTTGTTGTTTTGTGTTGTTTGTGTGCGTATGTATTTTCTTTTTCATTTTAACCAGCCTCTTATACCTAGAAGTCCCACAAGCAGCGTTGCCACGCCCTCCAGCACCATCAGTACACCCACCAAGAGAGACAGCTCTGCCCTCCAGGATCTCTACATTCCCCCTCCTCCTGCAGAGCCCTATATTCCCAGGTATAAGCTACCCATGGCATTATTCTGGACAGCTTCTAGAGAAAGGCTAATATAATAGCTCCTAAACTGGAAAGCTAGTTTTTCAAGAGCACTGTGAATAGTTTTTTCTGGAATTCTAAACATATTCTAGAAGGCAATTCTCATTATACCAAATGCTCTTTTGTTAATAATGACAACAACTAAATTTTAATAAGCATAAATTGGACAGTGAGTATCTTACACTCATAACCTTGCATAATAGGAAAGTAGTATTAAATAACCAAAATTTTTTTTTGGTTATTTTACAAGGTAAATACTAAGGGAGGATTTTTGCTTGTGAAGCTTTAAGAAATGTCAGTTTAATGTAAAACATTTCATATGTTTTTAAATGGATAGAGTTTATAGATGAGTTCTACACATTCTTAAGTAAAAGAAGTTGTATTTACTATCTCAAATTTTAGGTGATCATTAAAAGAATATTGTAATGGCATCTTTTATAGGGTAAGAATTTTGATAATATAAAAACATAATACTGGTTATATTTTGTACTTAACAAAATTTCTTTCTTTGTGTTGTAAATAATTATTTTAAAGGTCCTTAAATAATTATTCGCTATAATAACTAATTTGCCTTATTAACTCTACTATGTCTAATTAAGTGCAAAGACTATCTACTGGGGCAATGATCTTTTAACCTAAATACTTAAATCTAGAGCATAACCATGCATTTATTATTTTTGTACATGTACATATAAATTTAAGAAAAGTGAAATTGTTTCTATTACAGTGATTACTTTAAGTTCTTCAGAAACTCATACTATGAATATATACATATGCACACACATTTATATATTTAATTGTACATACATACTTATATATTATTACTTCATTCCATTAAAATTTTTTTTGCATGCATGGTACATTTCCAAATTTAACATTATTGAGTAGATTCCATATAGACATGTTTAATAAACTTGACATGTTGAGAAAGGCTGCTTCTCTATAATGTTATATTATAGAAAATGCCAGCTCTTGCAATTTTCTTCTGCAGGGAATGTCTATATAAATATAACATGGAAATTCAATAGTTCTGAATTACCTTATGGTACAACTGCATTAGTATTCATGTCATGGGCCCCGTAGAGAAACCTGCAAATTTACAGATAAACATAACCTTTCTCCAGTATTATGAATTCACTACAACTGTTTCCAAGCTAATTGCAATATCAATTTTTTTCCAATGGAGAATTAGCAATAACAGAAAAATACCAGGCAATTAGTTCAAGAAAAGCTTTCAGTTAACTAAAAATGAAATTTGCACTGAGATTTATATTTATGTTCTTTATATTTCCTAAGAGCTGGTTATATATTTATAATTCAATAATAAGAAATGTATTGGTTTTAGGAAGTAAAAAAGTAAATGATTATAATAATGATAACTTTACCTAGGAAAGAAGTAAATTAATAAGACAACTTTCTGATTTAGTCATCTTTGAGAATATTATTTATTGCTGTCTACATATTTAAAATATTTGGATTATAGTTCTTTGAATTGGGACATCTAAACATTTTCATGAAGATACAGAAATACAGACTTTTGGTAGGCCAAGACTCATAATTCTTAAATTGGCATATTTTAATAAATTCATCACTGTTTTATATGGTATAATGAAAGCTAATTAAAAATGATTCGAGTTTCTTTTGCAATTTTAAAATTTTGGTCTTGTTTTGATGTCGAATTAATGTTTTCTTATTTGATAACATTGATTTATGGGACACTTTTGGGTAACTGGGAACACCTAGAATCAATGAAGCACAACGATGCATGGAAGGAAAAGCATAGCTTTTACATTCATAGTCATGTTTTAGAAGACAAGGAAAATATCAGATACCTAGGGAAACATTTCCTAAGATAAATAAGGTGTTGTTTTAATTAGTCCTAGAGGGGATCTTTCATTAGGAGTTCAGTCATCCATTACTTTCTAAAAACCATGGCCTTGCACCTCGGACCACTCATGAGGGAAAATCGCAAACTAGACATTCTCACAAAGTGAGCAGTGCTCATTAAAGTTTCAAAATGTAAAAGGGGGGATTAAGTAGAAAATATATGATTGGGGGGCAATATGAGGTCACCCAAGAGAAGGTAGAGCTGCAGAGTGAGGAATGAATATGATTCAAATGCATTGAACACGTGAAATTTTCAATAAAAATAAAAAATGAAATTATTGTAACAAAAATATTTTAAAGGAAATATTTTTAAATAACAGCAATGAGATTTAGGAATCCCATAAAATGTCAAGAAAATGTCTGCTTAAATTATTACAGATGAAAAGTGGAATTGCTGTTCCCCAAATCCCATTTGTAAATTCCATATTTTACCATATTTTCTCCTATCTCCATAAGAAACATTGCTAATGTGTAATAATTTTTATATAGCCTTTCTGAATGAGCTCCACATAAACACCTTTTCTTTTTTTAAAAATTTATTTATTATGTATACAATATTCTGTCTGTATGCCTGAAGGCCAGAAGAGGGCGCCAGACTTCTTTACAGATGGTTGTGAGCCACCATGTGGTTGCTGGGAATTGAACTCAGGACCTTTGGAAGAGCAGGCAATGCTCTTAACCACTGAGCCATCTCTCCAGCCCCATAAACACCTTTTCAACTCTCAGGAAATACATAGAGTTTGAATATTTATAGTAACCATTTATAATAACATTAAAATTCATTTACATTAATAATCTGCTGTTTGAACTTCTTATAATACTGATTTATAGGTACTAATGTCATTCATAAGACCATAGTTTCCCTTTATTTTGGTGACAGAATCAGAAAGAACTTTGTTTTCAGCAACACAAATCCTGTCAAAACCAATAAGATAAACAGAAGAAAAAATCTATGATTAAATTGTTAGCATTATACCTAGTATCTTTCCTTCAACTAAAATCAATTTATGTGGTTAAATTATTTTTCTTCCTATGACATGACACAGTGAAAATGAACTAGAGCAGAAGTTTGTATTTCTAACTGGCATTTATTATCTGTATGACATTGAGGCAATTTATTTAACCATTGGGCCTCATTCTTATTTGAGACAAAATAGGAATAATTTTAACTAACCCTATAATTCTCAAAGAAATCTTATAAAAATCTGAAAATACATTGTAAAGGAATGGTATTATTTGTATTTTAAGGTCCCTCTAATTTTGTATGGCCCTAATGCTACACCCATCTCCTCTACCTTCACATTGCTTTAGGGACGAAAAGGGAAACCTTCCTTGTGAAGACCTCAGAGGACATATGGTGGGCAAGCCAGTTCATAAGGGATCTGAATCCCCAAACTCATTTCTGGATCAGGAATATCGAAAGAGGTTTAACATCGTGGAAGAAGATACCGTCTTGTATTGCTATGAATATGAAAAAGGACGATCAAGTAGTCAAGGAAGACGAGAAAGCACACCGACCTATGGTAAGAGTTCCTTCTTCTCTGGTTTATATAAGGATACACATCTTCCCGGAGTTTTTTGATTGCCTTTAAGAGATTTGGAGTGGTGAGATTACTGGATCCCTCTCCAATTGTTAAAATCCATCAGTGTCATCATGTACTTCTGAGTAGACTACTAACAATTTCAGGCATAATATTAGAAAGTTTTCTATATTTTCTAATGACTAGTAAAGATTTTAACTCAGAATGGCATATGAAAATTGTAGAATCACATGTATTTCTTCTCTGATAGGTGATAAATTAAGTCAAGAGTTTTATAAGTATAAATGCTTATAACTAACATGATTTCTTTGAAATAAAATCATTGATTTAATCCTCGAGGATTTTTTTGTTGTTGTTTTCAAGACAGGGTTTCTCTGTGCTGCTTTGTAGCCTGTCCTGGAACTAGCTCTTGTAGCCCTGGCTGTCCTTGAACTCAGAGATCCTCCTTACCTCAGCCTCCCAAGTGCTGGAACTTAAGGTGTGTACCACCACCGCCCAGCAATCCTTGAGGATTTTTAAAGAAGCATTTAGATAGGCTTTTCTGAGGAAAATAGTGTCAGATTTTATATTCTTCTAAGAAGTTTAAGTGATTGATCTTGTCTTTGAGTAGAAGAAACTGTTAACTAGAAAGGACAAACCTAAAAAAAAAAAAAAAAAAAAAAAGGACAAACCTTATTTAGGGCATAGAATTACTGTTAGGATTTTTATTGTTGACTCTTCATTTTCTTTGTATGATCAAGAAGGTAACACAGTCACAGTTGAAATTGATACAGTGTATCTCCAATATTTGCCTGTGAAGATGCCTGAAATGTAAAATGAATGGATTTAATTGGAAGTCTATGCTTTTTCCCTGTCCAGTGTCAAATTAATCCTTAAAAGTGAGGAACATACACTTTGGGAAAAGGCAAGATCCTTCCTAATTAGTACAACCTGCTCCATCCTCTGTTCCCAAAAGACAGCTTATATCTTCTTATACATGCTTAATTTTCTTACAGCTATTTGGTAAAGTTATATATGTAAAGTTTTGCCAAACAGTTGCCTTAAGAATAAAAAAAGGAAATAATAGTTACTCCTCTTTTAATTACAAGGAGTAAATAAAATGATATAAATAAAGTTATTCGAAAAGTTCCTGGCAAACAGTACCAACTTTTTACATCTTTTAAACTCCTGTGTCTACATTACTTATATTTTGGAAGAAAACTTTATAGTAAAGGACAATAAATTTATAACTAGTTCCTTGTAGTCACCATATAAAAATGATTTATTTAAGACCATTAATAAAATAATCATAACATTTAAAAAAAAAAGAATAGAAACCAAGGTCGGCAAAGTGTCTCCATGGGTAAAAAGTGCTTGCTGTGCAAGCCTGACAATTGGAGTTTGGCCCTGCAACCCACTGAAAAGCTAGAATACAACTCCCAGAAGCTCTACATGGGACCTCATGGTACATCCACACATGTACCACGACACATACACAAACCCCTACACACACACACACAAATAGTGATAAGAATAAAGAAATGAAAAGAACATGAGCGCTTACAATCATTTGTGTTTGTCTGTGCATGCGCTTCTTTGTCATAAGAATAAGCATTTATATTTTTAACATAACTTTTAAAATTATTTTTAAAACAACATTTTTTTTTATTTTACATACCAATTCCAGTTCCCTCTTCTTCCCCTCCTCTAGCTCCCCCACATTCCGCCACTTCATCCCTATTTTCTGGAGAGGGTGAGGCCTCCCGTGGGGAGTCAACAAAGTCTGTCACATCACTTGAGACAGGACCAAGGCTCTCCCCACTGTATTTAGGCTGAGCAAGGTATCCCTCCAAGAAGAATAGGCTACAAAAATCCAGTTTATGCACTAGGGATAAATCTTGGTCCCTTTGCCAATGATCCTACAGACTGCCCCAGCCACACAACTGTCACTCACCTTCAGAGGGCCTACTTTAGGCCTATACAGGTTCCCGACTGTCAGTCTAATTAGTGAGCTCCCACTAGCTCAGGTCAGCTGTTTCTGTGGGTATCCCCATCATGGTCTTGACCCCTTTGCTCATATTATTGCTCCTTCTTCTCTTCTACTGGTCTTTGGGAACTGGGCCCAGTGTTTTGCTCTGAATCTCTGCATCTGCTTCCATCAGTTACTGGATGAAGGTTCTATGATGACAATTAAGGTAATCATCAATCTGATTACAGGGCAAGGGCAGTTCAGGCACCCTCTCCACTATTGCTTAGATTCTTAGCTGGGGTCAACCTTGTGGATTCCTTTGAATTTCCCAAGTGCTAGATTTCTTGCTAGCCCCATAATGGCTCCCTCTTTCAAAATAAGTGGTTTTTAAACATAAAGCAAAGGAAACCACCCACAAATCACAATCCCAGAGAACCTAGACAACAATGGGGACCCTAATAGAGACATACACAGATCTAATCTACATGGGAAGTAGAAAAAGACAAGATCTCCTGAGTAAATTCGAAGCACGGGGACCCTGGGAGAGGGTTGAAGGCGAGGGAAGAGGATGGGAGGGGAGCAGAGAAAAATGTAGAGCTCAACAAAAATCAGTAATGTACAAAAGTGGAAAAAAAATAAAAAGATATCCTTTTCCTTGGTCTGCCTCGCTCTCCTTACCTCATCTTGGCCATCCCATTCTGTACTGAAAAGGGCTTAGTCCACTTAAGCCTCCCAACAATAGTATATCTATACATGAAAAAAATCTAAACTGCAAAGAAATTAAATAGTTCGCACAGCTACTAAGTAATGAGCTGAGATGAACTACCCATGGATATTTGTTGACCCTATCAGTGATGAGAGCTTGCCATATATGATTAAAAAGGAATTCTCAAAAACTCTAGAAAAAATCATTTTAAAACATTTCATTAGTCTTTCCAAACTCGAATTTTATTTCAAGCAAGCAGAAGTAGTCCTAATTTTATGTCTTAGCTTATATGTTATTTTGTATCTATTCACCAACAATAAACATGTATTTATATAAACATGGCCCTGACAGCTTTTTAAAAAGCTTCCTATATTGTGGGTAAGGAACAATGGTGTGGCTTATCCTTTTAAACCGGGGTAAAAGGTTTCATTTTACTAACAATAAAAACCAAAATAATTTCAGATTATATGCAAAAGTAGATCTATTTATAAAACCAATGTCAATTGGGATTTACTATTATTCTCTGTAGTACCAACTGTGTCCCCAGATCCTATCTATCACCTGACTACTCCAGAATGACCCTGAAGGCATACAACTTTATGCTTCACTTTTCTCGTTTATTTAATGAAGATGATTTCTGCCTCATAGAGTTTTTGTGAGAGTTTAATGACAATGCACTGTAAATTGCCTCAGTACCCAGTATATTAGATATTAATTTTCATTATTGTCATTACAAAATTAAAGGAAAATAGAATTAAATCACATTAACAATTGGTTTCATCTTCCCAGGCTTCAAATGGAAAGGTTCAATTTAATAAAAATCAGTTGCTTGGCAACTTTTCAGAGCAGAACTATTTTCCACCAGCTTCCTCTGCTAGTGGATTCCATGCCCCTTCTGTTTCATGAAAGAACACCGTTACAGTTACATTTCTACGTAACAAATTCAGTTAAAGAGTAGGCACAATTGGCTGAACCCCTTTGTGGCCACAGGAAGTCAAATTTCGTAGGAACAGAAGGGAAATAATTTAAAATATCTCAAGAACCATGTGAGCTGGGAAATGGAAACCCAGACCTTTTCTCATTGGTTGAAAATCTAACTCCTCATCAAAAGCATATAAATGAATGTGTATAGTATTTTGGACATTATTCTCATAAATGTTTGTGCATTGAGTAAACTTAGTGTCTAGAATATTATACCTTGACATTTTCAACTTCACTGATAAAAGAAAATCAAATATTTCCTCTCTTTTAGTCACCTAAATAGTAAATGGCTTTAATGATCTATTGTCATATGGTGAAGGGGCAAGTTCTACTACTTGGGAAATAAGAATGATATCTGTACATTTCAAAGTTTGTTGTCATACTTACTCCAATGCCTTTCTTTTTTTTTAAAGACCAGGCTGGCCTTGAACTCACAGAGATCCGCCTGCCTCTGCCTCTCAAGTGGTAGGATTAAAGGTGTACACTACCACCGCCCGGCTCCATTGCCTTACTTTTTTTATTAAAAATTATTCTCTTTGAAGACACCAAATTATAACTTAAGCATTTTTTTCTAAATTCTTAAAGATTTAAATACACAGAATTCATTTATATTTCTTTCATTTCTGAATAGCTGGCTTCTCTCTTTCTTGTCACTTTCCATTATAAATAACTTCCTTTGAAAGTAAAAATTGGGTTTATTTCATTAGCTATTCTAGAGAGGAAAAAAAGTTGTACTGTCCACAGAAGATCTATCTATATATTCTAGTAAGAAATACTATTCCCAAAGGAGTAATCATAGAATTTAATGAAGGAGAAATGTGAGATATATACTATGCTCACAGGAATTATTATTCTTTTTGGACTTTTTGAAAAAAAGTATAAATATTCTACTTTGGGGAGCTTCACAGAATGGTTTTTAGCATCAAGCTAACTGTGATTAGAGACCATGTAACTAATGGATAAAAATAAGAAAGTATATTCCTATTATGAGAATTAGAGTAATCATCTAGGGAAGGCTCTCTTTGTCAATTTCTATAGCTTTGTTGATAAAGTTATTAAAGCACATTAGTTTCAAAGTCAGGTTGCTTGTGTTGGTGTCCGAGCTTGGCTATACTTGAACTTGAGCTTAATAGAGGCTACACTTACACCTCAGGATTTCGTCTGGAAAAACAGAATAGCAGTACTATTACTATATCTGTAAGAACTAAACATTAGCTTACATATGTTTGTCACTTAGCACAATGTTTTTCTCATTTGATGTTCTTAAGAAATGGTACCTAGATGGGTGGTGGTGGCACACACCTTTAATCCCAGCACTTGGGAGGCAGAGACAGGCGGATCTCTGTG